CATTTAAATTATTTCTAAGGAATATTCATAAGGACAAAAGCGTCAGGATCACAACATGGTTGACAGGAGGCGGGATCCTATCAACGAAGTTTTAATTGAGTCTGTACGCAGCTAGGTACCTGAATTATGGGTTCATTTTAGGGATTTCAATTCATTGTTGTAACAAATTTATTACTTGACTAGCTTTTATAAACTGCAGATTTATAATATTTAAATAATTGACAAAACTCTTTAAAACTTAGTTTTTTACTATAATCTCGAAATGTACGTACGATATGAGAAATTATTAAATACTAGCTGTTCCCCGCGACTTCGTTCGCGTGTTAGGGTTTTTATGTTTCTGCGCGGAACCCTGATTCTTTTTCTAAAATAAAAGTAGCCTAAGTTACTCCTTATGAAATCAGCTATCTGCCAGTGAAAGTCCCGTCAAAATCGGTCCAGCCGTTTCGGAGATTACCCGGAACAAACAGACAGACAGACAGACAGACAAAAATTTTAAAAATTGTATTTTAGTTATAGGTATCGTATTTACTTTCATATGCATTTAGTAAAAAACTGTAATTTTGACATTACAAACAGACACTTCAATTTTATTTATTTGTATAGATTGATGATGAAGACCTGTTAATTATAAGGAAAAGAGTCTTATCAATTTATTCTTTAAAACTCAGAGTTATGATGTAAATAAAATAAAAATAAAAATTGAGTGTGTCGCCTCCGACGCGTGATCGGAGTTTATTCCTGAAATTAAAACGGTTGTCTACAAATATATACAATTAATTTTATATAAATTAATTTGAAAATGAAACACGGAGAAAATGAAGGGAGAGGCACACTAGGGCACATTTCAGAAAATTTACTTAAAATATCAAACTTAATATAATTAGGCCGACTAACTTCTAAAATCAATCGAATAACTCTTAACTTTGAAACTTGGAAACAAAATCTTACTTTACTGACATGACCTTTATAAGCTGAATTTTAATCACGATTGATGGCTGCTAAAATTACAATGAATAATTAATATTATTCATTTACGTCCTTTCTAATCAATAACTAATATTATTTGTCGCATCATTTCGTATAACGTTCGTATCGAATAACCGATTAAGAAAATTTTTCTTCCCGTAATTGCTACTAATTACTAGTACTGACTATTATCTACCTACATATAATGATCGCAAATGTATTTTTTTTTAGATTTATAGAACAAGGGTGACAAACAAGCATAAAATCTACCTGATGGTAAGTGAATGCTGTGGGCACCTACATCTCTCCTCGGTTACGAACCAAGATGCAAATGTGATGTTCACCCCTGAGGACTAAGATAAAATAATGTCATTGTGGGAAATGAAACAGCCGTCACGTCATATTTGAACGTAAATTATTTTTGATGAAAAAGTACTCAAAATTCAAATAAGGTATCGCGTAACTTGTGAAATATTCATGAGACCGCGATACCAGGATCACATGGTCGGCGGGAGCTAATCCGGTCTGAATTAATTATTGTAACCAACTACTATCAATTAATTTTTAAATTTAATCATCACAGTTAGTTTGAATATCAGCTGGAAGCAATAGACAATTGAAATAGTAAAAAAATGTCGTTAACCAAAGTGACTGTCCAAAAAAAGTTTTTTTTTAAATTAGTGTTTTTAATTTTAATGTCGCGAACATTAAATTTACATGGGATCATATAACAAGGCATTCCATTTAGTCCTCATGGCTGACAACACATCTGCATTTTGATTCGCAAACGAGGATAGATGTACTCGTAGATGTCTATGAGCCACAGCAACCACTTACCATCAGATGGACTGTGTACTCGTTTGTCAGCCTATTTCTATAAAAAAAAAATTGGCTCTTACGACAATCAAAAACTGCAGGGGCAAGATGAATTCCATTACCATATCGTGACTTCAAAAAGGGAGGAGGTTAAAAATTCGACTGTATATTTTTACTTTATATTTCACTCACAGATATAAATCTGAAGAAAAAGTTTCAACCCTTAGGGTGGCTAAATAGGGGGTGAAGTTTTTAATGGAACTATTCACACATCATTCGAGATTGTGATATCTCTTGGTCCACTTAAAAGGGTATAAAATCAACTTTTAATAAAAAGGAAAAGACAACAGTAAAAAACTAAAAAGAATATAAAATAATTTCACAGCAAGAGAAGCAGAGGCTTTTGATTCTTCTATACCGGCTTCAGTACTTAAATGAAATTATTTCATATTTATTTTACTTGCTTGAAGATGGCTTAACTTTTTATTATACGTTACTCTTTCACGTTCTTAATAAATTTTCCGTAGGTAGTTTTCGATAAAGCATATCAGTTTTATACAAGCTAGCTTCTCTACACTTCCTTGATGACATAACTACGGACGCCAACATACAGGAAACAGAGATCCGCTTCCTATTTACACGGCGTTCGTCTTCCCACATCGTTATTTCAGGTCGTTGAACTGAACTACGTAAACCGTTTGAATGTGTGTTTTAGTAGAAACTGCATATGGATTTATTTATTATATTTATTAGTTATTAACTAGTTATTTTGGTGCATATGTTTTGACTGTACCATTAAAATGTACAACTGTCAAGAAAATAATGCGTATTTATAATTTCAAAATCATACTGACGGAAAAATATTCCAAACAAAATTTGATTATTTATTTTGTTTAGGCTATTTGCCTATCAGAGTTTTCTCTATATATAGATAACGAGTTACGAATCCGAGATACATTTCTGAACACACTATTATGCCATGTATCAATTATTAACAAACAACTTGCTCCGTCTACGCATGTGTACGATTCACCAGAGCGATGTTATCTTTCTTTCTACTGTTTCTTCTAAAAAATAAATTTGTATAGCACAGTTTCAGGCATTCCCGCGTTAACTCTAAGAAGTTAATTTAATAACTCCCTGGTCATTCATCAATAACTTATAACGGAGGTCCTAGATATTTCCCTTGGGAAAGTACCCTTAAATTAGTATAATATAGTATAGGTATACTAAGCTTTCGTAATAAACTTCCTTGTTCTAAATCCCTCTCAGAAATAAGAGTAGGTCTGTGACTAGAAGTAGGATGCATACGTTGGACGTAAACTACCCGTAGGCTGTAACTTAACAACTTTTTTTTTTACTTTTATTATTTAAACAGTTCGCAATATACTTAACGCTTAAATATGTAATATTGATAGTATATATGTGTTTCGAAATAAGCAGTTTTATAAATAAGTAATAGATGAAAATCCAATTTTTTTCATAGATATAATTCTAAGGCAGAAGTGCGTGCTGAATCGGTACACTAGAAAAGTTTGAATAAGCAGTTTTATAAATGTACCGTGAAAATAAAAAGGAGTCAGTAAAATCATACGTATAATCTAAGATGTTTTTAAAACGTCTTTTTTAATACGTCTTTGCGTATAATATAAATTGTCTGCGACTTTGAACCTAAACCTACTGTCGTTGGTATAATTTGTAATAAAAGTACATTTGTAATAAACCCGTTACACTTAAAAGTGACGAATTATTAATCAAAATGCCCAATTATTAGTTTTACTACTCAAGTGTTAATTGCCGGTGCAATGGATGAGCCGCCGTACGAATATAGTATTTTGTATTACTACTTAGGTGCTAAATAACCAACCAACATCTCTAACATTACTTGTTAAATTTTACTGAAATGATTAGTTTCTATACTGCCAACAAAGTTTATTACTGCTTGTATTATTTCATTATTATTACAGCCCACCACAAGTCCACTGCTAAACACCACTGCTGAGGCCTCTCCCAAGGAATGCCACAAATGAATAATTAACTGCTAAATATGACCGCCCAAATGTCTTTAATAATTCTAGAATCCCTTGAGAAGAATTTAAGTCGTGCACATTCAAGGTTATTTTGTAAACGTTAGTTGTGAAAGAAGAAAACCATTTGTCTTCTGCCCTCAAAAGACAAGGAGAAATTAAATCAAAGTTTTATTTTGTTAAATATTCATGCACAACGAATTTCAAACACTAAATTCGTTAACCCATTTAAAGGTATCAAAAGTATTAGAATTTTAGTATTTCTGACCAGAATTAGAACACCGTACAATGTGTCATAGTCGGATATCGAATATCTTACGTCGTGTATGTTCTGCGTTGGATCGTGGATGAGGTCTCCATATTTATCAACGCGTACTTCTGTGGAGGGGAGCGGAACGCGACACTCTGCGTCGAATCGGAACTGACCCTGGCATCATACGGACAATACCAATGGATGTTATAAGTTACAAACACCAATCGCTGTGCGGAGAAATCAATTGAAGTACTTGAGAATTACTAATATTTATCAATTTGCAAAAGAAAACGAACTTAGTTTATTATGAGAAAATATTCCAAGGTATTTAGATTAATGAATAACCTTTTGTTCACCAAGTGGCGCTAGTAGGGACTGAACTGAAGTTTTTTTTTTTGTTACACAATATCATATAATCGAGAAGTAGCGTTATAAATAAAATTTTATCGGTTTCTGGATTATTAGATAAAATACACAAATAATTTTTAAGGTTTATTATAACATTTTTTAACTCTTTTTTTTCTTAAAATTTTCTATTATTAGGGAATCCGAAGGTTAGGTTTACATTAAAATTTTATAGTAATTCTCAAGTCTTCTATCGATTTCGATTCTGGCTACAAGGAAAGCATAAAAGAGAACACATAAAAAAAAACTGAAACGTTTAGCAAGCGGCGCGTCATGCTTACACGCTTGCATGCTTCAATATCTACGAGCAGGGTCGCATGCGCTGCGGCAACTTCGCGCGCTTCGTCTGCCATGCGCCTTCCTCGAGGCGTCGCGTCTTCTTTAACAACTACACAATTCTCTTCGCTCACTGCTGCCTTAGTATCTTCTTGCGAAGCGTCAGGGGGATTAGGTTCGGGAGTTTGGGAATCGGGATTGGGTTCTGGCGGGATTTCAGCGTATTCAAGCTTGATCGCGGCCGACTCGCTCACCCTTTTGTGGTTTTCCGGTAAACTGATGTTGCATTCGTTGTCGAAACGGAATTGGCTCTGTGTCCATGGTTAGCAGAAAAAACACACATTTTTTCAATTAATAAAAGAAAAAATATATTTACTCTGAAAAAAATTAGATACTTTAAAAAGTGATTAAAATTTTTATTATCTTTAAAGAGTAAAATTGTATAAAATATATTTTTATATGTATAAAATATTATTGCCAATTAATGTTTTTAAAAAATGTCACGCTGGGTTTCTTGCTAGTTCTTTCCATGACAGAGGTTTATTTCCAAACCAGTGGTAAAGATTAAATGACTATTCTAAAAATGGATATAAAATAGTATTTAGGAATAGAATTTTCTGCTTCTTACACCACAGTAAAATACAAATTGATCAGTATACCTTATATCCAGGTCCAAGTCGGTGCATTGCGCAGATCTGGTGTGTCGTGAGTGCCTCGCCGAAGAGGTAAATTGCTGCCATTTGGCCGCAGAAAACTCGCTCTTCGTCTAACTCCGCTGTCGCTCCGATGTAGCATTTGTCGAAAGGCTAGTGAAAAAAGTTTTAAATTCCATTGTAATAAAATTATTATTTATTGAATTTTAGGCAAAGCTAAACACTATAATATTGTTTAACTGTGTATAACTGTTGTTTTTCTTTATAGAATAAGGGTGAACGACACGAAACGAGCACACAGTCCACCACATTGACCACATGGTGAGTGGTCAATGTGGTGATGCTGAAATCCAGACATCACCATTTATCCTCGATTAAAAACCAAAATGCAGATGGAATGCCTCGTTTCCAGTAAAAGGGGTCTCCTGTTCGCTACAGTCACCATACGAAACACAGCAGCATTGAGCTGCTATTTTACGCTGGTATTCAGTGAGAGTGTGGTCCTTCCCTGGTCGAGCCGACCCATTCATGCTACAATCCTATTATAGCTGCAGAGTGGATCTACCACGTATAAAATAAATATAAAAAGGTTCTAACCACAGTGCACGCTTTGCTGACGTACCATATTATGAAAAAAAAATTAAAAGATTAGCGTTATTAATTGTGACAAACGCGAACTAACAGTCCATCTGATAGTCTTCGCAGAGAAAGGATTAAGATGGAAAGTCTCACTGGCTGTATGTGTGTATACGAGTACATACTGGTTCTCAATACACTTCAGAACGAACCACACTGCTGTACCGATAATCACCCAGAAGACATTACTGATCCTTTGATTTCTTTTTAAATGTGGCACTATGTAATATTTTTAACATAAAAATAAAATAAAACATTTTGCCAAATGATAACAACAATATGCTTTTACTCCAGTGATGTAATAGGTGCCCTTATTCTATTTTATATATGGTTGATATTCCGTTGACTCAATTTGGAGAGTTTCATGTAATTTGAAGCACTCCGACGCCAGAGACGATAAACTACGTGTTATTAGCGAGTAAAATAAAGGCGTTGCGTACGTAATAAGCCTCTAAAGTGTGGTGGTAACCGGTTAGCGCGACAAGAACGGCGGTAATCTCTTCCTTACCGATAAATGGTTATGTGGGAAGTTTCCAAGATGGCTGCCATTTAACAAAGTGGCCTAACTGACAGGCGTGACGCTGTTAACGTGTCACATTGACCATGATTTATGATTCGTGTTTTACGTATTTGCATGGTTTTGAAAAATTTGTATATATTGTCCTCTTTTTGATCTCATACAATTACAAGGCAAGCAAGAATATTAAGTGAATTGTCAAGCTTAAAGGTTCAAACAGTAATTAAAAAAGTTAAGTGAAAAAAGAATAATTTTAAACCTTATGTCACTTCCACAACTAAAATCCTTCAACCCGTTTAGGCTACACAGCGTGCGAAAGGAATAGACATACATACTCTCGAAAAACATTATCGTCCTTATGGGGCAGTGGGGTTATAAGTTAGAAGTTGAGCCCAAAACCATACCTGCGATTTTGATATGAAGATATATATATAATGTAAGTTTTGTTGATGATCAGACCATGCGATTTTACACGCATTTTAGACAGCATATTAGCCATTTGACTAAGGTTATATCTGACTTGAACCTTTCCTATATTAGGAAAAACATTACTTAATCTTCTACCTTGGTGAGATTATTTGCGATCGGTTAACTAACTATATGACTGTTAATAAGACGTTAAATCTTTTATTACAATTCTCGGATATCATCAACAGAAGTGGAGTCGCACTTAATGTTTGTAAATATTGCTTTTAACTGTACAATTTTCCTTATCCTAGATCCATTTAAATCCACTTATCAGTGACACTCTAGCTTTATTCTTTCGCTATCATCTTTACAACCTACAGTTCCTTACAACGCAACGCCATGTTGACTCTTATTCACTGCCAAAGTGCCGCGAGATTTCGTCTTAAGAGACGTCGTTTAATTCTCATCCTGAGACTTAATTACTACATTAACTGTGTAGGGAGGCGATGAATGTATGGAGATAAATTTGAGAGTAATCTGAGGACATGCTATACGGCATTCTAGTGATATATTAATTCGAGTGTATTTTTAATGTTGTAACATGATATCTACGAGTTTATTTGATCGATTGTGTCGAGTTTTTATTAATCGATACATCTCTTTTTGATAATTCTATTGTAGTAGATATCTAAATGGCTTCTAGAAAATTGTGTTAAGATTTTAATACGATTACTGTTTGACAGCTTTATAAAAAGGAAATACAGCAATGCCGTTCAAGTAAAATTCTATGGTAAAATTAAATTTTTCCAAATTTTGTCATTTTTCGCGGTATATTTGGACGGGTTTTAGTGTTTTGTCGATCAACGGTGTCTTGCACGTCAGCATGAAGCACTGTGGTAAAGTTGTCGTAAGAAAAAGTTGTATATTTCCTATTATATATTTTTATTTCTTATATTATAAACATACATAAGAGTAAATAAATTACAGCTTACTGAGATTCACTGCGGAACATAGGCCTCACCTAGGATTGCCTCATAGGGGGATTTTGCCATATGTGCCACGCTTGGAGGCGGGTTGATTTTTAGGGTTCCGTACCCAAAGGGTAACCATTGTAACCTAAACTAAGCTTCCGCTGTCCGTCCGTCCGTCTGTCTGTCAGCGAGCTGTATCTCATGATCGGTAATAGATAAGATAGTGTAAATTTTCACATAATGTGTATATCTGTTGCCGCTATAACAAATAATAAAAATAAAAATAAATTAAAAATTTAAGTGGGCTCCTCTACTAAAAACGTGTTTTGCGATGATATGGTACCCTTCATGCGCGAGTCCGACTCGCACTTTGCCGGTTTATTATTACTTTGAGTTGTATCAGAAAGGCAGAAAGGCTCCCCTCTTACGACACCCGCGGGACAGCATGGGGTAGTGGACATTCTTACATCGTCACTACATGGTTATTTCTTATATTATACTCTTTAGCATACCCAACCCAACGTCATACCTAAATCATATCTAAGTCGCCGTCAATACATCTGAATCCCCTTTTCATCCCATAGATGTATAATAAATTTCTTATTGTGCCATAATACTAGGTGTTCAACCTACGTCCATTTTTTATAGGATAAGGATGACAAGCGAGCACACAGTCCACCTTATGGTACGTGGATGCTGTGACCCATAAAGATCTACATCTATTGTCGATTAAGAATCAAAATGCTGGTGCGTTAACACATCCGTGGACTAAGATGAAATGCCTCTTTTCCAGTTAAAAGGGTCTCTGGTCTTTACAACCTCCATACAAACACAGCAGCATTAACCTGCTATTTTACGCCGATATTCTGTGAGAGCGTGATCCTTTCCCGGTCGAGCCAACCCATTCACGCTGCAACTATAACATACCCAGCTGACTCTACCGTGTATTATATGAACAAGATGTTCAAGAACTCAAGTAAATAGTAGAATAGAAACAGGCCGGCAATAAGTTTGATAGTAAGGAATTCTACGACTATATTAAGGTAGTCTGTTGCTCCGCCATGACTGCCTTTAGAGTTAAGATCTATATTCATATCACCCGTTAACACTATATTTACAGTTTTCCATTTCCATTCACAGTTTCCTCCCCTATAAGGCGGCAGGACCCGACGGCATATTCCCGGCACTCCTACAGTGGGGGGGTAAAGCCCTAATAGTCAGACTTGCTGCCATAATGCGAGCCTGTCTTGCTCTTAAATATGTTCCTAGGGGATGGAGGGAAGTGAAAGTTACATTCATACCCAAACCAGGTAAGAGCGACTACACTGACCCTAAATCCTACAGGCCCATTAGCCTCACATCCTTTCTCCTAAAGACGATGGAGAGGATGTGTGAAAGGGAATTAAGGGGGTCGGCGCTAATGAACTTACCACTACACGACAAGCAACACGCCTACAGTCTAGGCAAATCAACAGAATCGGCCCTTCATAAGGTAATTACAAAGATTGAAGAGGCCATCCAAAACAAAGAAATATGTCTAGGTTCCTTCATAGATATAGAAGGTGCTTTTGACCGAACGAACTTCTCCAGCATAAAAGGTGCACTCGGTAGACACTAAGTTGAACCGGCACTGATCGACTGGATAGTTTACATGCTCAGTACACGAATAATAAAGATTGCTGGTGAATCTCAACCAATCCAAATTAAGAAAGGCTGCCCGCAGGGTGGGGTTCTCTCACCTCTCCTGTGGAATATGGTCATTAATGAACTCATCAGCAAATTAAATGACAATCACTTCTATACAGTAGGTTATGCTGATGACCTGACAATACTGGTCTCTGGAAAGACAGCAAGCATAGTGTGCGACCTGACCCAAGCGGCTCTCCGTATAGTGGAGAGATGGTGCAGGGAACATGACTTAACCGTCAATCCAAATAAAACGGTTTTAGTTATGTTCACACAAAAACGAAAGCTGAATAACTATCATCCTCCAAGTCTTTTTAGCACAAAACTCCAGCTATCCTCTGAGGTAAAATATTTAGGTCTTACCTTGGACAGCAAACTTAACTGGAATAAACACATAGAAAACAAAATCAACAAAGCTAGTATAACTTTCTGGCAATGCAGAAACATGATTGGCAAAAGATGGGGATTGACGCCAAAAATCATACTGTGGCTTTACAAAACTGTAATTCGGCCCATGATCACATACGGCGCTCTGGTATGGTGGACCAAGACAAATGAAGCCACCATAATTAAAAAGCTTCAGCGCTACCAGAGACTGGCATGTATGGCTGCTACAGGCTGCATGAGAACTACGCCAACAGCAGCCTTAGAAGCGATGCTGGAGCTAACTCCGCTTCATCTACATATACAACAAGAAGCGACTTTAGCTGCCATCAGACTCAAGACCCTAAATCTTTGGAGTAAGAATAGTGTCCCTCATACAGGCATAATTGATAGAATTCACTCAAAAATTCCTATCCTACAAGCCAAATACGATAGGATTCCTAAACAATTTGTTTTCGATAAGAAATACAAGATACAGTTAAATGAAAACAGCCAGCCGGAAGGATTAAGTCCAAAAGAGCTTAGAATTTTCACCGATGGTTCTAAAACAA